CCCCCCATTCGCACCCAGACAACCCGTCCCCCCCCCAAACCAGAATTTTTATTGCAGATTCGGGGTCCTCTCGCCGAGCACAGAAGGACCCCGCTTTCAAAAAAAAAATAAAAAAATTCTGGGCTGTTTTTTTGCCCGCCCGGTTTGCCCGGCCGGGCAGCGTCTGTACTCAGCAAAAAATCGATATTTACTGTAATTTACAACTTTTTAAATAAGAAAAACCAGCCACACACCGTTTTAAGCGATGCTAGTAGGTCCTAGTGCGACGATTTGGGTCCTCGACAGGCCTAAGGGGGCCCTGTTGCAAATGTGCCCGCCCTAAGTGAAGGCGGGCCTAACAAATCACGAGAGGCCCTCAGCTGCCAATTTCGTATTTGGGGTCCAGGCAGTTTCGTCGCGCCAGTTGGTTAAGGGAAACACAGGCCGAGCAGCGAGACATTCCACGGCCTTCCGGGCCTTTCAGAAAAATGCAGGCCCTGGGCGAGAATCGCAGCCTCATACACAGACAGTTGGGAGGCCCAACCGAATGAGGCCCAGTAGCTGCAACAGAGGCGCAGCATCCTGGGTCCTACCGGAAGCTTCTGGGCCGAGGCCCAGGCTAGCCAGGCTGCAAAGGCAGGCCGGCTCATTCCATATAGGGAAGAGCTCGCTGACTGGATAATCATTCAAGCACTTGCTGGGTGGCGGCAGTGCTGCTGGAGCGACGCTCGCGGGCTGTGGCTGGCGCTGAGAGGTAAGGTGCGGGCATGTGCGGTCGTGTGCAGAAAAGGGCGCAGCTGAGGGCAGCGCCATAGCCCATCTTCCATAGCTAGGTGGGCTTGGTCTACAGTGGGGCGCAGGGGGTGGTCTCCGGGTGTATAGAGAGAAGACGTGGGAGTAAGTCAGGGAAGAGAGAGAAGGATGATGATGATGATGATGTGAGGGCGCATACCTGGTATCGGCGATGGTCTGCATTGGGCGACATCTTCAAGTACTACGTGGACTGCTGACATCAACAGTTACATTGTCAATTAGTAGGCAGACTGTAGCTGTGTAGGAAGTAGGCTGGGCGCCAAGCGCCAAGTAGGGAGATAGGGCCTGGATACTCATGTTGGTGGTGGCAAGAGCAACCTCTCATTGACATTGGTTTCCAGTGTTACGGTTCTTCATTGGTGTTATATTGGTGCATTTCTGCTTTCTGGACACTGTGATACTGTCTGGCCTTCAATGTGATTGTGCATTCTGGACATTGTCATCTCGCTATTGCTCATTTTCTTTGCACTAGCTCCAGGGGCAAAAGTTGTTCAGTTTATTTTTTCTGCATAACATAGTTTTTTTTTGGATATTTTTTATTTTTTTATTTTTTGCTCGGACCTTCCCTGATCCTTGCACGGCCGGGCCGTTCGGGAAAACAAGGTGACCCGGGCAGCTCGGCTGGTAGCCTAGGGAAAAACTATGTGATGCACAAAAATAAACTGAATGCAAGGAATACGAGTGTGAACACTGTGAACGATATACAGAAAACCAAGTTGCAAAATCACACAGATGTCTGAGTAGTCGTGTACAAGCAGAGAGCACAAAGGCACCGAGAATCCATCCAAATAGAGCAATACAATAAAGTAATGAGCCAATGTTCAAGCCCATAGGCCACACCAACACAGTATCCAAAGTCGCTCCTCTCTGTCTGGCACCCAGCACCCAGCCTACTCTACTCGCCTATCCTACCTACAGCTGTGTTCACGCAACAGGCTCACTTCGACTCTCGAAGACCAATTTACAGGACGTCAACACCATAGCCGACCTCTCTTCATGCACCAGGTACGTATCTCGTCACCCTCATCAGACCGCGATACCCCACACTTCGCCTCCTTCCCTGAAGACCACCAGATCACCCTCTTACCCCCTGGCGCCCAGCAGCCCGGCTATGGCTGCCTGCGCCCCGCTGCCCTGCAGTGCCCCACTTCACCTCTACGCGCCCCGTCATCCGTAGTGCAGCATCAAGCAGTAGTGCAGCAGCGCTTCCGCATTGCCTACGCAGGCCAGAATCCCCAGCCTGGGCGAATCCCCAGCCTGGGCTGGCTCACTTCCTAGATGGAAGTGACAGCCTCCTGGATGCTGTGTGTGGCCTGGCTGGAAGCTTCCAGCTGGTTGGGCCTCAGTCCCTGCGCCCAGGCCCGAGACTACAGTTGAGGGCCTGGGCCCCATTTACAGTTGGGCACGGCCTGAGTCTCCGGACTTGGGCTGTTTGCTGCATCTGTGCAGGGCTCCCAGGTAGGTGCGTCGACAGTACTGCTTTTGCATAGGCAGATGGCCTGCTTCTCAATGTATCGGCCCTGCGTTGTGTGTATGTGCCCAGGCGCAACTGTCAAGGCCTGGGCCAACTGTACGACGTAGCTTAGTGACGCTCTCACATCCATTCAACCAACTGGCGTGCTGCAAGAGCCTGAATATCCACGTATGAAAGTGTCGAATTTTGGCCTTCGACGAATATTCAGGCCCACCTTCACTTAGGGAGGGCACTTCGCTTGCTGGGGGCCTTTGCCCAGAACATGTGATGTCTGATAGGGCCCCATGAGGGCTTGTTCCTCGCATGAACAACTTTTGCCTCAGGCTCACATCCAAATTCCTTCCAAATTTGAAATAAAAAACTAGGAAGATTTTCATGCCCGGTCGGGCATCCGGGCGTTCTGCGCTCTCCCAGAGGACCCCAAATCCAGGCTCTTTTCATTTTTTGAGGGTTAGTTATCAAGGGGTGGGAAAGGGGGATACAAATTTGTTTTAAAGGGGCTAAGGCCCTAAGGGGGTTTAAAGGGGGGTGCCTTAGTGTGATTTTGTTATTTCTTTTTTATCGACCAATTCGGTGAGGAATTCTGAAGTGACCCTCAGCCAAAAAATGTTTGTATTGCAATTCTACACAACATATTGTTTTTCTAGATTTTTTAGACTCTCGTGTTTTTTTTGTTTTTGTTTTTTTTTGTGCTGGGGCTGCCTGGAACCCTGCCCGGGGGTCATGCCCGGTCGGGCACCCGGTCGTGTATCCGGGTACAAGTTAGGTGCCCGGGCGCCCGGAAAAACAGCCTAGATAAAACATAAAATATATATTTTTTCCTTATCCTTAACACTCTTTATGCGAATAGCGGGTCTCGTGTAACGCTCCCGCGAGATCCGGCTTTCCGCTGTTGGGAAACGCGGTGAGACCGGCAGGCGGGCCCAACAGATACCGTGTGAGATCGTCGGGGCAGGCCGAACCGGTGACCGCCGTTGCGATTGTCGAGCAGGCCCGGGTAGGACGGCCAGATAGAAGTTTTTTCCCGAAACTTCTATCTGGCCGTCCAACCAGGGTCCGCGTGGCAATCCCAACGGCGGTGCTGCTTCGTGATGTTTCGGTTCGTTGCATGCGGTTCGCGGTGTGGTGCTCGCTGCGGACTATCTGGCCGTCCAACCCGGGTCCGCGGGGCAATCCCAACGGCGGTGCTGCTTCGTGACGTTTCGGTTCGTTGCATGCGATTCGCGTTGTGGTGCTCGCTGCGAGAGAGAGGGAGATACATTGGGGCACTGCCTCCTGGTGTTTGCATGCCGCGAGAGATCGCTGTGCTCGGTTCGACGAGAGAGAGAGGGAGACGCAGAGAAAGAGAGAGGGAGAGGGAGAGAGAGGGAGATAGAGA